CTGGTTGGATAGAACCAAGCTCCAATGCCCTTCGACATTTACGAGAGCCAGGTGGGATGTGGGGCAGACTGAACTAGTATGCTTCACATACTGGCAGGGCAGGGCAGGGGCGGGCCTGGTGGGGGTTACTGGGGGTCGCTCTGACTAGGCTGCAGCTCCCACTGGTTAGTGTGATGGCCTATTGTGTGATGAGCAGAGCCAGGATGGACTGCGGCACCCACTGGTTCCAGTGGAAGTCGGGGCTTAAGTCGGAGCCAACCCAGCAATTGCAACCACCAGCTGGTCGGGAAATGGACTGTGCCAGGTCCTGTGCTTGCTAGTACATATAGGAATGTGGTATGGGAACATCTCAGAGTCTCCCTTTAGCCCTTGTAACTTTTTACCCTTATCAGCAATGTAAAGATTGCCAAAATAAAAAAGTAAAAAAAAAAAAAAATATTTTCTGAAAAAAAAAAAGAAAAAAAGAAAAGATGGCTCAGCTATTACAAAATTTGCATTAATAACCAATACTCCCAGTTTCTAAGGCGATGGTCTCATTTTTAGCATGCAGTGCTATAAGGCAGCTGGACACACATTTTCTCTCTCTTTTTAGGAAATGATTTCCAGAGCCAGGAGCCAGGAGCTTCTTCCAGGTCTCCCACGTGGGTGCAGAAACCCAAGGCCTTGTGCCGTCTTCCATGGCTTTCCCAGGCCACAAGCAGGGAGCTGTATGGGAGGCAGGGCCGCTGGGATTAGAACTGGCACCCATATGGGTTCCCCGCACGTTCAATGTGAGGACTTTAGCCACTAGGCCACGACGCTGGGCCTGTAATCCTCTGGTTTTATGAACAGCGATCCCCCAACCGGAAGCAGAAATATTTGTTCTTTTCCAAAAAACATTTTCATTCTTAGATCATTCCTTTTTCTTCGTCCGCTTTCTTGATTTTATCAATATTCTCACTCTTTCTACAACTATTTCTAGGTGTGCTGTTAGAAGCTAAGGGGGCATCAGTGAGCACTGGTCAAGGGTCTCTGCACCTGCTTGCTAGACAGCATCTGCTCTGGCACAGAACGGCCCCAGGTTAAAAAACGCTGGTTAGAACCACATTTTGCTAAGCTAGGTATTTGCACAGTACCATTTCTCAATTGTTTACAGTGATAATAACTTCCTTTTATTAAATTCATTTAGAGACACATGAGCAGGGTAGAATTGAGTCAGGGTGATGGAAATGAATCGTTAAACTTTAATCTGTAAACTCAGCTCATGGTCTTAAATAAGAAACTCATCCAATCTATCCATAACTGACTGATGCTTTTCTTCCCACATGGTCCACGGGCTCCATTTGAGAGTATGCTTTACGTAAGTTCCTCCTCTATTTTGGTGGTTTTCCTAGTCCAATCCTTAAGCCCTCCTCTCATTCTGTGTACATTTCCTGCGTAGTAACAACTTCCTGGATTCAGTTCTTATCTGTAGCTCTAACTTATCCCTCAGATGTTCTCACAGGTCATATTCCTATCAGGAACATCCTTCTCAACCAAAGGGACTTTCTGAAATCTCAAAAGGGGCACTTGAAGCTTCAAGAAACTTCTCACGGGCAGAGATATACCTGACTGGAAAATGGTACCAACATCTACTTTAGAATGAGGTTCACTGTCACCATGTTGGAGGACAGATAGGGCTTTTATTGCTCACTATCATATCTAACACAGCACCTAACACAAAGAAGCTCAATAAATATTAAAGGGATGGGTTCAGTCTATCACTAAATGCCGAGGTTTCCATTTCATATCTTTTCAACCTACTTATTTTTTCATCTATACCTTCATCTATACATCAGTGGAAAAAAATAATCACTACTGCTGTTTACTTGGCTTCCTATCACAGTCTCCCAGACACTAAATTTTGCTTGTTCCATCCCATTCACCATTAAAGATCAGTTCTTACCATCTCTCGATGTGAGATCCTTTAAAATCAAATCCAAGGCTGGCTTGAGGGGTAATTAGGTAAAGTTGCCACCTGCAACACTGGCACCCTGTGTCAACCCCAGCTTCATGCTAATGTCTGGGAAAGCAGTGGAGAAGCAGGCCCCAGAACCCATGTGGTAGGGACAGACAGAGTTCTAGGTTCCTGGATTCAGCTTGCAACGACTCGGGGGAGTAAACCAGTGAGAGAAAGACCAGCTCTCTCTCTTATTCTATCTCTGTTTCTTTTTACTCTTTCAAATAAAAAATGAATCTTTCAAAGAATAATCAAATCCAGGGCCTGGTGTGATAGCCCAGTCTCTAAAGTCCTCACCTTATACATGCCAGGATCCCATATGGGCGCGAGTTTGTGTCCCAGCTGTTCCACTTCCCATCCAGCTCCCTGCCTGCGGCCTGGGAAAGCAGTCGAGGACGGCCCAAAGCCTTGGGATCCTGCACCGTTATGGAAGACCAGGAGGAAGCTCCTGACTCCTGGCTCTGAATTGGCTCAGCTCCAGCCTGGCTTCAGTCACTTGGAGAGTGAATCAGCAGATGGAAGATATTTTTCTTTCTGTCTCTCCTGCTCTCTGTAAATCTGATTTCCCAATAAAATAAATAAATAAATAAATCTTTGAAAAACTAAAAAGTATCAAATCCAAAATTTTGAACATGATACACAAATTTATAACTATCTCAACTTCAAAAATAGCATTTCTTTAGTGTTGGTGTACTGTAAGGAGAATCTTCTGATGCTCAAACTTTAATTGAACATTCATTTGCCATGTTTTTTTTTTGTTGTTGTTGTTGTTTTGTTTTGTTTTAACGTAGTTTAATGGCTTGCAAAGTTCTGGACCCAGACTCGGCATTCAGTGGCTAAGTGGGGAAACAGGTTTGCTTCAAATATCATAAGTGATCATAGAAGTAGGTAACTTTGGAATTCCATCAAGGGACAGGGATCTGAATCCAGATGAAACCCATAGAGAGTGAGTTGGGAACCATTAACATCATGACATTGTAGACAGTTTTGTGTGTGTGCTTGACAGTAATTTTCAAACTACCAGAGAGTTAGAAATTCTAAGAAATTAGGAAATATTACTGTTGGGAGTGTATTTGATTAGAAAGGGATTTCCCAAAATATAATAAAAATTAAACCAAAACGCAACACATACATACAAACCCCAAGTTATACATTGACATTAAGTCTTGATGATATAATTTTTCATAAAAAAAAAAGGCCAAGAAATGGAGGAATTTGAGCATTGCAGAGGGCTGAAGAAAAACAGGTGATTCCAAAAGGAGTTCAGAAAAGTAACCAAGAGAAAAGTAACATCTGCCTACTTCTGCACTTGAGCCTTGTGCAGCCAGAATATGCAAGGTTGTGTGATTTTGAAAACTGCAAACTTTAGCTTGCCGTGATGCTGGCCAGTGTTAAGAGACCTCTGTTTAACAGTCTAGTTGTCTTTTTGGTTCAGTTGAATGAATTCCTGGCTAGACCCTGACCTGAAACAAAGGAAAAGTAAGGCAGCAGCCTGAGCCAGGGAGTGGTAAGGGGCAGAGATCGGTACGGGTCCAATAATCACAACTTCTCATGTCACCATCTTCTCTGACTCACCCCAATCCTTTGTCTTTGTTTTCTGGCACAGTTTATGTTTTTCCTTTATGCAGGAATCCCCACAATATATCATATTGTTTGTTAAAAGAAAAGATGGGACTTCTAAAAATATGTAGGCAGCTTTGACAATTCTAGGTTTTTTTTTTATTATAAATATTGATCATGCCCATTTTCTGCCCATCAAGCATTTACTAAGGAAATATCATCAAGGAAGAGAATATGATTCTTCCTTCTAAATTTTAACTTTGTAATAAACTATACTGTCTAGTTTGTTTGAAAAAATGTGAACCTCTGTATCATAATATACTGTTACTAATCTATGGGAGGACAAGAATTCTGAGACATCTTCTTAAAGTGGTGGCAGGTTTGGGAGTTTTGGTATCTGAAAATCACTTCCATTCCTGAATATCTATAGAAAACTACTGCTCATAACATTCAAGACGATGGGGATGCAATAGGTTCCTCCTGATACCAGCACCATTTTCATCCAAAACAAAGGGAAAGCCAGAGGATGGGGGAAATTTGGTTAAAGAAACTGAAAAATTCATGTACTGATTAGTCAGTATTTAAAATAATCAGGAGTAACAGGCCTTAATTTCTTTCTTTCTTTCTTTTTTTTTTTTTTTTACTATTTTAGTACCATATTCATTAAGCATCAATTCATAAAAATGTGGAATTAGAAATATGAATTCATTATATTTGAAGTTTCAACATGTTCATAGAAAGGGTATATTACAAAAATAGTTAATATTTAAAAATGTTTGCAGCAAAATAAGTTAATCCCTCAATTTCGCTTTTTTGCATAAAATTTTTGAAGTAAATTAATAGCATTAACAATTCCCTAATCTTATGTTAGCGCAGAATTTAAATTATATAAGTAAAATTGTGATTGTCAGCATGATTAGATAAGTGTGTAAGAATCTAGTTTATTAAAAAAAGTCATTTCAAGATTTCATATTTAGTATCTTATCTGAAATTTCTGTGAAGTCTTAGCAATCCTTTTTAAAAAATACTTCCTTTTAAATCACTGTTGATAACAGGAAATGGCTCTGAGTAAAATTTCTGATAAACTGATGGTGAAACTTAGTGATCAGGTTGATCTTTGGTTTGTGAGTTTGAGAGAGAAAAGAGACACTACTGCATAACAAGTCCTAAGTACTAAATAGCACACTTTTGTCTGGATTCACTTCAGTTGTAACAGGTATTTCCCTGTAAGCTACAGTGATTTCTTGTTCTTATTTTTATTTGCAAGAAACTGCTGTTAATAATTTATTGAAGCTTGGTTTAAGTTCTGTTATATTCATGAATCAGTTGAATACATCACAGAAAACTTGTGCTTTTTTTTTTTTTTGACTGGAGTTCTTGGGACTTGAGACCCTTTTAATGCTATTGGAACTGTCTTGAAGAAAGAAAGACAAATAAGAATGGAAGAAAAAAATTCTATAACCTCGTTCATTGCCTGCTCTACTTGCATCTTTATCCTTAATCTGGTCGAATTCATTGTGTCTTCTATCTTCTTTAGGTTTCACTGCTGCAAGAGAGACCTGGGTTAGGACGTATCTTGAGTATCATGCCAGGATCAATGCTGACAATGAGATGAGAACCAGAAGATGCTGTGAAGAACTGGAAATGAGTTGTTGGAGGTCCTCAGGATGTGGCACCGACAATGCATATTCGAATAATCATACCAGCTGTGGAATTCATACAACCTGACAAATACTCACCCAGAAGAGAAGGGTCTACCACCACCTGGATATTATTTTGTACTCTCTGTGCGCATGTTATTAAATTCTGCACTCTTAATTACTACATTTGGTGGGAAATATTGTGGGGAACTGTGGGATGCAAAGGAAACATGGTGCGTGACAATGTGGATGGGGATCACCTGGGCAGTTCAGCTGTCTGCACCAACAGATACCCACAAGGCCATATTCACTTTGATAAGCCTTGCAGGCTTTGCTACTGGATCTCATTGACTGAGTTCAAGAATATAGACTCCCACTAACACAACTCACAAAACAGCAAAGTCTACTAAAAAAAAGGGGGGGGGGAGACTTTATTCAATCTCGGTGAACAATAGGAGAATCAGGCATGCACATATCAGCCTGATAGTGAACTGACTCCTTGGGAGGCAAATTATCAGAGGGAAGCTTGGTGCACATGGAAGCAGAGCAAGTGGAAGAAATGACACAGGATTTCATTGCAACTGGGCATGTGCCTCTGCAGCTCTCTCCAACAGGGTGGAGTTACACACCCGCCAGGGCACTTGGATGGTTGCCTCCACCCAGCAGGTGCTGCCAGCCTAACAGTGCTTTGATAGGTACCATGACAGTTACATTAGCAGTTTCCTTCTTTCTTCTTTTTTTTTTTTTCCGGTTTTGGACACATAGAATATGTTCTTCTCTCTGTGTATATGCATAAGATGTCAACATCTTTAATGAGGTTAGAGTCAAATCTTAATGCCCCAAGAGGTTTTATTGTTTGTTTTGTCTCATAAGTCCCACATACTTCTCTTGGCTTTAATCTGTTAGGTATTCACTTCTTGGTTTAATTTTCAGAGGTCATTTTCATTTCCCTGCTTTACGGGATCAAAAGAATCATTGCATGGTAGAATCCACAATGGCCTACAGTTCCACAAAGTGTTGGTGAATTCCAAAGCAACCTGTATTTACTGTGCAAATTTTTGCCCATTGCTGTGCCAGGTAGAAAAATAGCATGTAAAACTATATCAACAATCTTTACGGAAATATTACATCCAGTGGGTGCCCACAGCCTTTTTCTTCTTCGCAAGGTACATTTACTCATTCATTTTTACTTGCATTATAGACCCTGTATTATGTACTAGGATTTACTAAGCACAAGAAAAGATACCATGTCTTATTCTTTTTGAAAGTCTGCAGTGTAGCAAAGTATTGAGATAATTAAAAAAAAAAAAAAAGCAAAACCAAACACTGTGCAAGTGATACAGAGCCTAGGGAGAGCACAACGAGAAGCCACATCTTGTTTTAAATACGATTTTAAGAAACAACTCTTAATAACTAAGATATTTAACCAGGGATGTGGTGCAGTAGCTAAACCGCATCCCACACTGAAGTCTTTTTAGTGTCCCAGTTCTCTGCTTCTGATCTACCTTTCTGTCACTGCATACGTTATCAGGCAGCAAATGATGTCTCAAGTACTTGGGTCTGCACTACCAACCCAGGAGACTCAAGCAGTGTCTGGTCTTCGACCCGACCCATCACTGGCTGTTGGAAGAATTTGTGGAGTTCACTAGCAGATGGTGGATCTCACGCATTCGCACCACCTCTCTGCCATTCTGCCTTTCAAATTAATTGATTAGTTAATTTTTCAATATTTAGCTACAGTAAAATCAAGTCAAAAGTGTAACTTCCAATATCTTCTCAGCTGGTAGTCTGGTATTTCCAGATAGTTTCACATGTGCATGAAACATATTTTACATGAATATAAACAGACAATTTGTTCTATAAATGTATGACATTTATGTAACATAAATGCATAACATTTATGTAATACAAACACACATGTACCCATTTATGTATGACACACCTACTTGTGGGATCATAAAATATACACATAAGTAGACACACATAAATAGTTCAAAAAGTTAGTGGAAAAATGGAACAAAAAAAGCCTATTTTCATATAAAAATTCTGGAATTCATGCATGGAAGGAGAGGATCTTTAAAAAGCTCGTGGAGAATGTCTATTATGAAAAACTATGCATTGGTTTTGATGAGTTTCTAAGGACTGGGAGTGGGAAGCCAGAGGAGTTATCTTTTCACTTCCAAATATTTTACACAACATTTTTATAACAAACACATTACTCGCAGTATTAGGAAAAATATAAATTAAGAATGTATACTTTGGGGAATCTATATTTTTTTATCTATGGCAAAGGAAATCCAGAGGAATAAGACAGAAATAGAAAGGAAGGGTTCTCAGTAAAGGCTGAACTTGGAATGGATACTGTAGCACTGATGGAGTTTAAATAAGAGAGGTGGTGTTGGGGTGGGGAAGAGGATGGAACTGGGTTAGGCTGATGAGAAATGTGTTCTGAGCAGGCATTAGCAAAGCAAGAAGAATGGTAAACTTTTAGGAAGGTCATGTGCGTATTCTTGAATACAGTACATCTCAAGGAAGGATTCTGAGCAAGGAGACCGTCCGGCGCTGGAGAGCATGCCCAGATCTCATCAGCTGAAAATGCAGGTCCATGGCATTTTCACACCTGTAATCCTTACAGAGATAAAAGGACACTGCCAGAATTTAGCAGGCATATTTCTTCTCCACTGTGCAACAGTGCAGATTTATGTTGATAACGATCAGAACTGATGCACTGGTCATGAGAATAAGACAAAAACAAAAGGATCTTTCTAAATAATCTATAGGGATCTGCTTATTGGATATAGGGAATGAGCAAGCAAAAGCAGAATAGTTCTAGATTTTCAACTGGGGAGTCTTCGTGAACAGTGATGTTGGTGACAGGCCCGTAGCTGTAATCCACAGCATGCCTGAAGTCACAGCTTTATCACTTGAGTTTTACCTAAGTCTCTGTTTCCTTTAACAACCCTTCCATGTGGCTATAAGGCAAGTTCCATACATTCATATAAAGATGGCTAGAAATTTTAAAAATTAAAGTACTTTGGGCCTGGCATGGTGGCCTAGTGGCTAAAGTTCTCCCCTTGAATGCTCTGGGATTCCATATGGCGCCAGTTCGAAATCCAGAGGACCCGCTTCCCATCCAGCTCCCTGCTTGTGGCCTGGGAAAGCAGTTGAGGACAGCCCAGACCCTTGGGACCCTGCACCCACGTGGGAGACCTGGAGGAGGCTCCTGGCTCCAGACCTTGGATTGCCACAGCTCTAGCCATTGTGGTCACTTGGAGAGTGAATCATCAGATGAAAGATCTTCCTCTCTTTCTCTCTTCCTCTCTGTATATCTGACTTTGCAATAAAAATAAATAAATCTTTTTTTAAAAAGTGCTTTTACCTTATTTACATTTAAAACAAATTGAAATAGTTAAGACAGGGGCTAGTGTTGTGGCACAGTTGTTGAAGGCTCTACCTGCAATGCCTGAATCCTATATGACTGCAAGTTCAATTTGTGACTGCTCCACTTGCCATCCAAGTAATTATGAATGCATCTGGAGAAGCAGCAGAAGGCAGCCAAAGCCTCATACTTGGATCTCTGTAACCCGCATGGGAGACGCAGAGGGAGTGACGAGCCCTGGCGTTGGCCCAGGCCAGCCCTGGATGTTGCACCATTTAGGGACTAAATTAGCAGACGCATGGTCTCCGTCTCTCCCTCTCTGTAATTTTCAGATACATGAATGAATGAATGAATGAATCTTTTTTAACAAAATAGCAGAGACCAGGCAAAATTACAGTTTATTCAATTATTCTAGTTGGCAATGCTTTGTAAAAATTTTAATACTTCACATATGCTGAAAGAAAAAAAATTCTACAAAATAGTTGACAGAAGGAAGCATTCCCAAGGTTTTAACTTATTTGCATTTGTAACATGTAAGAGTCAGAATCACAAAATTACAAAAACTCAAAATGATTAATAAATATCAGTCAAATAATAGATGCTGATTTACTTCATGTTGAGAATGATCTTTTTGAGTGGATCCTGACCTCTGAGCGGCATGCCGTGAGTCCGAAGCAGGGCTTGTCATAGCTTCACAGTGGCCCTGAAAGCTCAGGGGGGTGGTCTTCACTGCTCAGCTAGAGGTCAAGACATTTGAGGACTACTGTATGATAGAATACAAAAACTGGAAAAGCTCTGAAGTAATCTGTCATGCTTTCCGAGCCCTTGCTTTTGTGTAAGGTCACATCCCTGTGGAGGATGACAGACTACACGGTTGCATAACTAAGCTTCCAGAACTAGTTACAACTCTGGAATGCCATCACTCTTTTGCAATGGAATGATCATCATCATATGAAATCTTGAGAAATAAAATCTCTTGCTTACCTGCCAGTTCCTGCCTGAGAAAACCTAGTCCACATAATAGCCCTTTGTCTAAACGACCGACCTACCTTTTAGAGTACTGAGGATCAGATTTTTAAAAGAATGTTCAAAATATTTCCACATACAATATTCCAATAGGCAAAAAGGAAAAACAGAAGAGAAGTATATTCTGGCTTTACAACAGTGTGAGGGGGAAAAAAGGGGGAGGGTGTGGATACAATAAAACTGGCTGTGAGCTGCTCGCTGTGCAAGCTGGGAAGGCGTCCTCTACTGTGCCTACTTTGAATATGCTTGAAACCTTCCAAGATAAAAAAGGCATACAACTAAATTTTCAAGATTCTCTTTCCATTCTACAACCAATTAGGGACATCAGTGCTATGCAAAAAAAGTTGGGTTAAAAATTCAAGAGGCTTGTTTGCTCAATAACAATAACAATTATGCCAGACAGTAATCCTTGCTAAATGCATGGTGCTTAGGAAAAGTACTTTCACATCCTTTATCTCAACTCATCAGCACAAAACTACCTGGAGACACAGTAGCTAACAC